CAGGGCTGCCTTATAATAGGTTCTAACCCCCCCCCCCCCCGCCTTGTCCCCTCCTCAGCCCTTAGATACTGTGCTGAGAAAAACTTTAAAAATGTATAATGCTCTGTCCATGTACCTCATCCCAGATCTGTAAGATCTCTGCACTTCTTCTCCACCTCATCCTTTGCCTTCAAACTCCATCCCACAGCACCCATTGATATTCCAGCTCTATGCCTTTCAGTGGAAGATGCAGAAAATTGTTGTGCTGTAGTCCTGGACAGGAGGAAACCTGAACCAGATGGAGACCTATAAAATGTTTCATTTGTGATCTCAAGCAGGATTTGAGACCAGATCTATAGAGATGAAAGGTCAGTTTTCCTATAGCATAGGCAGGGAGATGTTTGGTTTCTTTTTCTATGTTCAGAGTAATCAGTGCAACTTGGACCTGCTCCTGGTGCAATAGAGACTAGACGGAATTGTATGTTTAAATAACACTTTTTATATGTCCCTTAAAATAGTGTAAAGGCCAGTACCAAACCTCTCTACTGCCACTGACAGCTGATCTCTTTAACTAATACAGGGCAGGACCATAAGAAATCCCTAAATTAATAAACCCCTCTTTTTCCTGCTTGAGATGTATCCAGTTTCAGGGTTGGTGTCCCTCTTTCTGTTAACTGTTTCAATCAGGCCCTCAACCTTCTGCAAAAAGAATACCAGGTTTGCATTGTAATCTTGCCCCACTGTGGTAGAGATCCTTAAGCAACATTTCCCCAATCTATATCTAGTAGCTGGATTTGAGCAAGCAGTGAAATGCAGATCACAGAAAACAAATGATTCTGCCTGTCCATAGGGACCATGCTGTGATATAAATATAATGGCAAGTATCTGACACTGTTTGGCACAATACTAATGATAGCAGAGAAAGCCAAGAGCATCCTGATTCCCAGTTCTAAGCTCCACCCAGATATTTTCATAGAGCTAAACACTTATTTGGTTCAGTCTTGAATAGCTTAGGAAGTTCACTGAGGCCTAGATTCTCGTCTCTGTTTCAAAAGAATTGTATTAAAGCCAACAGGTTTGCAGTGGTGTCATTGAGAGAAAAACTTTGTTCGTTTTTTGTAGCAAATATGAAGAATGTGCTTTAACTGCCAGCTGTCCTGCAGAAAACCAGAAGAGGGCACTAAACTGTCAGCTACAAGGGCTTAAGTGCCTTATGCAGAATAGTGCCTAGGGCAGGCTGTTAAGTTTAGGGCTCATCATCACCCCAGACCCTTTTAAATACCTCTCCAGTACCTATGAATAAGTGGGAATGGAGTTCCACTCAAATGAAGTCCCTGCTTCTCAGGTACTACATAGAAGCCATTTCCAGTTTTTATCATCTAGCTATATAGTCAAAAGAAGCGTGTCTCATAAATCCAAAGTGGGCCTCTACTCTGAAAAGTGACAATGTACACAGTATTGTCAGACTCAGTCCTCATAGTGTGTTATTGTCATGAGACTCACTTTGCTCAGGTGACAAGTAAAAAGATGGATATTCTGCCTGCTAGCCCCACAGCCCCATACCCTAGGATCATGGAGTAAACCTAAGGTTCATTCTTGCACATATCTTATCACTATTGAGCTGATTCTGCATGTAACAGAGCAACGTTTCCATCAGCTGCACTGATTCCACTGTGCTAAAAGAAAACCTGAGTGATGGATGGGCAATGAACAGAGCCATCGATCTGCAGAGCCTTCCCTTCCCTAGTCCTGGGCTCCCCAACACCACAGTTCTGCTGATGCACCTCAAAACTGATTTGCAATCATTCCCGTTTCCCCATTCTCTCTCCTGCACAGCCCTGATAGGAACTGCACTGATGAAAACCTGAAGAAAGATAGACTGCTTTGCCAAGAGACCCAAACTTTTGGAAAGTCCAGATCCAAACACTGGTCCCATCCCTGATAAAAGCTTATTTTGTCAGAAAATTAAGCAAATTTGACTCTGGAGACAGATAGAAAACAGATAACTTGAGTCAGAAGAAGACATTTTTATGGTTCCCTCTCTAACCATACCCACAATTTCAGCCATAAATCAACTGAAATACCTTCTGGCCCAGAGGGTTAACTGCTTGGCTATGGTCCAGGAGACTGCACCATGTCAGGGGAAGAAAGGAACACAAAAGTGGCATAAAGATCATCTGTACTGTCACCAGATTTTGGTATAGCTCTGGAAGGCTTATACTTTTAAATTAAATTAGAGCATCTAAGGGTAGACACAGATGGATGCAGCATAGTGGTTATGCCAGCTGGGTCCCTTTCCCTCTAGCCACACTCTACACCAACTTCAGGAAGAGATAGAGGTTGAAGCCATTATGCTGGCTTTCCCCCAAAAAAATCCCTCTTGCATTGGTATGATCTCTCCGCACCTAAATATACCTGCTGCATGGCCAGTTTCTCCTGGTGTGCTGTGCCCAAAGCAGCCACGCCACACAGAGACAGGTTATGGAAATGGTGGCCCAGAAAGAGTGCTACACAGCCAGAGGATTCAAAATGTATTTTAAAAATGCCTTATGTTTTCCTTCTGGTCTTTGTGATGTGGCAGTTACACCTCTGAGCATTTACACTTTGAACTGAAAAGAATCCAAGATTGCTCCTTTCCAGTCTGTAAGTTATAACTGAGATGGTTTCCAACACTCTTAAAGGAAAAGGGCTGTGATTAGAGGTATACCTGAGCACTTTGGTGGTGCATAGGCCAGCATCAGTGGCTGAGTTTCTGGAAATGGCAACAGGGCCAAGCCAGCAGCTCATCAGTGGCTATTTTTACTCCCCCCCCACCTCCCCCCCAGAACTGATGTCCAGGGCTGGTACCCTAGTGTTCTCCTCCCTTAGCTATGCAACTGACTTAGGGGTTTCAAGATTTTCTTGTCCCTTAGGAGATTTCAAGATTTCATTCTCTCATAACTCCCAAATAGAAAATAAGGCAGTGACTTTGGATAATTTGATGTGTCCAACTCATTGGAAAACCAGGAGAAGTTTTTAATGATTAGTACAAACATGTTGGTGACAGCAAGGAGAAAAATATGAATGGCATTGCTGTAATAGAATGGACTATGGTAAGATGCACAGCAACTTTATTCTGATGAGTATCAGTCTCTTTGCAGATTCCCAAACACTGCTGTAATTGTTACTGGGAGAAAAATTTAACGTATTATACCTAGAACCAACCAAAAGTTCTGTTAGTATTCAGGGCATGTCCACTAATATTGCAGAAACTCTGCAGTCCAGACTGCCCAGTACCAAGGCACTGCAGAGGTAATACTTCCACCAGCCATCTGAGCTGTGAAGTAGAATGGCACAAACAGGGGGGATCTCATACTTCTTGGGCCAGCTGAGGCTGCAATCCTTGTTGAGGCAACACACTTCAGCACCTCCATGTCTTGTATCACTCAACAGCAACCCTTTTTCTAATAATAAAAGAATAGGGTGATGGGTGCACAAATAAGTTGCATTCAGCTGTTAAGGGGAGGATGAGGGCCATGATGGTGTGGGACCTCACAAGTGACGGATGACAAATGTCGAGTCACAGAACCATAGCAGATGAGTGAAAGATATCTACTACCTTGTGAACAGAACATTACTGCAGTTAGGAAATGTTCTACTCACTTGAGGCCATTTATTTGTCCAACAAGTAAAATACTCATTGCAATGGTACCTGCAAAGTTGTACCCGCTTTATACACTGTCTTTGTCGCCTGCAACACCCAGTAGGTGAAAACTATTTAGAGCAGCAGTAGATGCCTCTTCATTTAACTCCAGCTGAGAGGTGCTGTGTCAGACAGGGAGGAAGGTGCTTGAGATGATTGGTAAAGTCATGGAGTGAAGACATCGCAAGCAAAAAACAGGCCTTGCCTCAGTGCGCAAACAGAGGGATTAGAGATGATCCAGTCATGTCTCCCACACTCTTATGTGGGAAGCTTTAAGTCTGAGATGAGACGGTGAGCTGGAAGGAAGGAGAAGAGCACCTGCCTTTATTGTAATGACATAATTCACTTTCTTTCTTGTCTGAGCATTTTTTATGCCCTTGGTATTCCCTTCCCTTCATCCTCCAACTAGTTGATGAAAGAGTCCTGCTTAGATGGTACAGTTCTACAAATGAGTGCACAGGTCCTTGACTAGCCTTACTCCACAGGTCTTTGTTGTGCTACAACAGAAATCTTACCGGCCCTCCAGACCCAAGTCTGTGCTCTCTGGTGACCCCACTGCTCACTGTACTTCTGTGCCAGTGACACTGTACTTCTGTCTATTCATCATCATTTGGTTGTCCATTCTTTAACCTGGCAACCTTCCTACCCTGAACTTGTGAGGGTGGCTCATCTGTGTTCTCTTGGCCTCTTCTTCTGCTTCAGGTCATCATGGAAGCATGGGAGAAAGGGGTCAACCCAGAAGGAAACTCTACCAACCCCAGCAACTGGGACTTCAGCAACTCTTTCTTTTTTGCTGGAACTGTTGTCACCACTATAGGTGAGGTGTCCTCTCTTCTATTAAACACATCCTCTGTAAACAAGGGCTTCCTCCAACTGTCCTGTGAAGGACCAAATCATTAATACTTCCTGGACAATACAGTCCTGTCAGAATAGTCTCTACCATTGTATGGTATATTTACATAGCAAACTTTTCAGCCGACCTCCATTTGTGTATATTCCTTTTGCACACCAGTTTACTGTTCTTGCGAAAACAGACCAATGCCTGATCTGGAATATGAAAAAATAAGTTTGCATATGTAGACTGGGTGACTTCTCCATTTGCATCAGGCATGTATTGTATTTGCTTATGCAAACAAGTAGTTGAATTTGCCACAAAATTAGAGACCCAGACTGAAAAATAAAAACCCTACTGTGGAAGGTATTTCCAAATAATATTTTTTTCAGTGTGAAATGGTGGTTGATAGTGGCTAATGCTTGAGGCCCAACCAGCTGGTATACCATTTTCTCCAGTCTAGAAAAGTGTATACAAGTCTGCAGACTGCTGGGGCTGGATAGAACAGAGGTAAACTAAAGTCCCAAGCCCTGGAAGTTCCCCAATGGCTAGCGGACTGACTGTAAAGCCTTTGTCATACAATTGTCCTGTTTATTTTCCTTCTTTTCTGCAGGTTACGGTAACTTGGCCCCCAGTACAGTGGCTGGTCAGGTGTTCTGTGTGTTTTACGCCTTGTTTGGGGTGCCACTTAACCTAGCCTTTCTCAATCAGCTGGGAAAAGGGCTCAACGCACACCTTATCACTCTGGAGAGATGGGTGCACAAACCAGGCCGAGCCCAGGTACAGTGTCCATTTCTTATTGGTCTTCCACATATTAAAAGATAGCTGGCCTTCTCAGGCACCCGGCACCTTAGGCTGAGCTGTTGCTGAGCTGTTTGTGTGTACATTCTGGGTCATAATAATTATCGTGTGGCCTCTCAGTAATCAGTAAACTGATACATTGTGTTTATGTACAACGACTTTAAAGAAACTTGCTCTTTCCTGAAGGCCATGATCTTTACCCCTCTCGAGCCCTGATTCAGCAAAACACTTAATCATTATTTATTTAGCTATAATCATGCACTTAAGTACCGCTGACCTCAACACAATATAAGCACACGCTTATTAAAGTACGCCATTTCTGACCTGCCTGTGGTATCTTTACAATGTGCCAAAGCAACTTCCTTTTGAAGTGATCCATTTTAACCTAGCATCCTTTCACCAAATGCCCTAACCATTCAGCAGCTGATTCCTTTCCCCTCTATTACTGCCTTTTTAAAATGAAGACAGATAAAGACTTACTTTGGATCTCGTCTACATTAAATCCCCCAGATTTAGTTTAAAAAAAAAGGCAAAGGATAAAGATAAAAAGTAGATGAGATCTTTTCAAAGCCACTTCATGCTCCTGTGCAAAAGTTCTGCGAACTGGGCTCTGAAGTCAGAGAAGAGAGAGAATAGGTAAGATTCCCAGCAGTCCTAATTATGAATGGTCCCTTGAAAAATGCATGTCCATTCAACAGCACTTCTACACAGTCAGTTTACCATACCAGGCTGCCTCCTAAACAAGGAGCAGCACAGCACTGGTGAGAGACCGTGCGCGTCACACTGCTCTGATGTTAATTAACATACCTGCAGCACTGTGCAGACACCATGACACTGCTTCCGGTTTAGGAGGCAGCCTATGTGGAACAGTGCAGTGAACTTGAGGGCTCTGCCACTAGGGATGGTAATTTTACCAAGTATGTCCTCCATCTCTATCCCACTCAGCTCTAAGGACTTGCCTACATCAGACAGGCTAGAGCCATACCAACCACCACCACCACGTCTGGAGACATAGCATATACTAACAGTATTTCAAGACTAATTTAAACTGGTTCCTCAAACAAAATCCACTATCCTGGCAAAAGGATTTTTGCTGGTATGGCTGCAAGTACAATGGGGCTTTTGCCATCACATCTTTGTTAAATAGGAATGTGATTTTATTATTATTGTTATTCCTAACTGGCATAACTGCACTTGCAAAACTTGTAGTGTAGACCAAGTCTTAGCCTGCTTATCTCCTCACCCACTTTGTAAACACTGTTCTGGAAAATAGGTTAGCTCCTCTCAGACACCATTTTTCAACAAGTATTAGGAAATTAACTGACGACTGATTCTAGCCACTCCAGGCCGGACCCTTACTTTCACTTTAAAGGTCTTTTGTGACCAAGTTCTAAAATACAAATCCTAAATAAATCAATAAAAAACAGCAATGTAACACTTCTCTTCCAAGCATTCTACCTACACACATTATCTAAGTATTTTAACACCCCCAGGACATGAGGATAATGATAATAATACATAGAACTTACATCATCAACGGATGTCAAAGTTCATTATAAAGGAGGTCAGAATCGTTACACACATTTTACAGATAAGAAATTGAGACACTGAGATGGAACGTGACTTGCCCAAAGTCATCCAGCAGACCCAATCCAGGAATAGAGCTCCCTCCTCCCCTCCTTTCCCAGGAGAACGACATAGAATTGGCACAGTCAGTGAGTCGTCTATCCCTCCTATTGAAGCTGGGCCACTGAGCTGTCAAAAGAACAAGAGTCATGTAAGGACACTTGGAGAACAAGCATGAGGGAGAAATGACTGTAACCCAGCGATCCTCTCAAAGGGACGATTCCTGGGTGCTGGCCCCTGCTGCCAGGTTTACTCCTCCTTTTTTGTGGGGGGTCCCCTCCTCATAACTGAACTATCTAACATGCATGCAGTCCTGGTTTTCAGGAATCAAACCCAGGAATCCCCTCATAGGCAAGGCAAAGAGTCAGACTCCCTCTTGCTTATGCCCTCTTCAGTCCCATGTTTCTAGAACTGTTGACTGCTCAGTTTCCCACCTTCAACAGGAGGAGTAGAAATGGAAAATAGAGATGGTTCTTAGTGTGAGTAGGATACTTCCTAGGAGGTGGGACATGAGGGTTTCAATCCCCTCAGGCTGGAAAGGGCCTAGAACCCAGGTTTTCTACTTCCTGGGCGAGTGCTCTGAACACTAGACTTTTGCAAAAGGGGGCTGGGTGGCATGACTTCAACTAACCAAGCTTTTGAGAGAGCATGACCACGGACACTGCATTTTATAATGAACTAAATGCTGTCCATATGCTTTAGGCACTGATCTGTGGTTGCTTTGGATTGCAATAAGATAAAATCTCCCACTGTGCAGCCCTGGATCAAGTACCTAAGCTCTAATGAGGAGCTGGAGTTCAGACATACTCCTGTGCCTAAATGTTTCTTATTGACACCTTCCTCTTCAACACATAGGCCCCCTGGATTGTCCTCTGTGGATGCGTCTACACATTGCTGTATGGTGACATTGCTATGGTGCTGGGCCCTTTGGAAGTACTAAAGTATGGTGTAGTAACCACCCACACTGCGCCATACAGGCAGCACATGCTTACATTTTACTGCTATGTCACCATAGTGGCACACTGTAAACAAGGAGTGCACCACTACAGCAACATAGCTAGTGATCAAGTGTAGATCTGTGTGATCGCCATGTTATCATTGTACACCATACAACAACATAGCGTGTCACTATGTTGTTGTAGGGCGATGTGTAAACGTGCCCTGTAGGCACCTAGTTCTTCCTGCTGTAGAGGGAACCTGGCCACCTCATCCTGTTGAAATGGATCATCCTCCTGGGACAAAACATCTATTTTTTATGAACGCTGGAGCCTAAACGTAGGTGCTTGAGAACAGTCTGGATCTGGCCCTGACTTGTGCAAAGAGAGGTAGAACTACCATTAGAACTCGGGAGTACCTGACAACCACTCCCATGGTCAAACCACTAGACCATTCCTTTCTCAGATTCCCCTTGTGTTGATTATTTTGTGCCTGCGTGTAACCAATGCAGCCATGTATTTTGTAGGGGTAATTTAGATGACTACTTCTGACACAAGGTAAACATTTATATCAAGTGAAACACATATCCACCCAGTACTGCCAGAATGCACTTCTGTTCTGTCCACTTCTATGTTAAAAAAGGCAAACTGATTTCAACTAAACTTCATCCAAAACCAATGTGGGTTGAGATACATTAAGCCAAGTTATACATCTTAAGAAGCAGAGCATATTAAAGGAATGCTAATGCCATGTTATCAGCTCTTGTGCTTCTAACAGCTCCTGGAGTCACTTGATGAGAACAGAACCTCATCTTCCATTAAAAAACAAAAGTGAGTTTCCAGCCATCACAACTGAAGCTTGAACATGAGACCTAGGTGCATCCAAGAGACCCACGAATCGAAAGGCAAACCAAAAAAATGCATCTATCTATCTATCTATCTATCTAAAACATCATGATCTTCTGAGACCCAACTCCTGATTTTTGAATGCTGGAAGCTGACATTACAGCGGACAAATGTTCTGGGAGGCATGCTCTGCCTAGGCATTGTTTCAGACTGTATTTACTGAATGCAATTGATTCATGCCTGCACTTCATGGGAGAAGATGAGCATTTGTTCATTCTTTCTATCTTGTCTATTGGTCCTGTAGTAATTGGGCTTCGTGGCACTATTATATATCCTAAAATCCAGTAACAGTACAAAAACAGACATGACGCGCTACTGAGTTGCCCTTTTCTTTCTCTCCTGCAGGTGGTGCAGACTCTGGCCATAGCTCTCTTTTTGGTCACTGGGACCTTGCTTTTTCTAGTGTTCCCCCCAATGATTTTCAGTTATGTTGAAGGCTGGAGTTATGGAGAAGGCTTCTACTTCACCTTTATCACCCTCAGCACCATTGGATTTGGGGACTATGTAGTAGGTAATGAAGGGGTTGGTTTGGGGGAACTTCATGAGCTTATGTTCTTCCATCACTGTTCACTAGAGTAACTGTTGAAGTTACTGATATTACACCAGTGGGAGACTGGCCCTTTGTGGACAGATGGATTAACTAGTGCCAGCTATGCTGATAGATTTAGCACTATAGGGTTTCTTCCACTGGGAGCCAGATTAAGACCCACCACACTTACTCCGCACTAACCACTGAACATCCATTCAGCAGTAACTGCTGCCAAACTAATTTAGACTTGAGCCAGAGGCCTACAGGTGAAAGACTCTGTAGCCCCTTACTAATTCTTTGAGCTCAGGTTAGGGTTGTTTTGATTAGTTTCTTCCCTGTATGGAAAAGACCAAGCTACCAAGATTATAGTTATGGGGTGAACCCTAGTTAAACCCAGAGAGAAGGCTTTTGTAAGAAGGTGTACTAAATGGCAGCGTACGATCTGCAGGAGTCTGGGCCAAGCAATATAGTGGTTGCTAGCAATATGTGAGACCTTTTCGCTGCACCTGGTTTTTTAAAATGATGTACTGAATACTTGAGGTGTATAGACTGTCCACATGTGAAAAACAATAGGATCTGTCACCTTGTGAGGGATTTCTCCTCACTTCGTCCCCTGGTCTGTCAGGGAGCCAAATGCCATATTTGGCTCACATGGATTCAGTGAAGGAGCACACTGGAGCACGGACTGAACTACTTGTTTGGCTGGTGCAGTGAGCATCTGTTCTCTGGAAATGCCACATGCATGTAGTGACTGTCACATTCTGATATATAACATGGCATACATTTGCTCAATAATGCATTCCCCAGATTATATCTGAGCCTGTCTGTTCAGGACTCCAATGAGCTGCACACTACATATATTGGCAGCAGTGTAAAACACCTATTTGTGCCCAACATATTAGAGCAGACATGTCAAACATAAAGCCCACGGGCTGGATCTGGCTTGCAAAGACTCCCTATCTGCCCACCCTAGTGCTGCCCCTGGGTCTGATCAGACCCACACAAGGTATGGCACACTCCCGGGGCATGGGGCCAGTCCATAAGCTTGATCAGGCACATGGATCCCTTCCCCTTCTCCACCCTCATTCTCACCCTCACCCCCCAGGGGTGCATACCTGATCTAGCATCCACTCCAGCTGGTCCAGCTTGCAGCACAGCCCCCAGACTGGCTGGAGCAGGCACCATATGCAACACAGTCCAGGAGCTGTGGGGCTCATGCTACGTGTGGTGAAGTCCAGCTAGTATGACTGTGTGCAGCACAGCTACTGCTTTGGCCAGACTGAGCCACATGCAGCGTTCATTCCAGCCACTCCAAGATCCACAGCACATGCAACTTGGGTCCCAGACCGACTGGAGCAGCCGCCAGACCAGGTATGCTAGAGGATGGTAAAGCAGTATGTGGGTTAAATCCAGCCTGTGGACTGGCCTCATGCCAGTCATCCAGCCCATGGAGCCAGATGAGTTTGACAACCCTGTATTAGAGAATCCATACACCTATACTAAAACATGGCCCTCTAGCATACTTACAGCTGTCTTTTTTTCCATAAGCAAATCATGTTACACAACCTTGTTTAAAGTTAGATGTGGTTATTGCTTATATGTAGACAAGGCGTTAGAGTTTCGGTACCATCTGCTCCAAGCCTAATTTCACACTGTGAACAGGAAAGTAAGCCACAATATAATAAGTTTCCTATGAAGAATGCATGTAGTTCTCATGATCTCAGTAGATCATGCATAATTTGCCTGATGTATGTGTGCTTGGACTCCTGTTTGCCCAGAGTCCAGCCTAACACCTAGAGTTTCATGGCTTTTTCAGGCACAGATCCCAACAAGCGCTACATCTCAATCTACAGGAGCTTGGCAGCCATTTGGATTGTTTTCAGCCTGGCTTGGCTTGCTCTCGTCTTTAATCTGGGAGCTGTCCTGATGGAGAAATTCCTTCAACTAAAGTGGCCCAAATCTGACGAAGGCACAGCAGAGGAAGCTGTAACCAAGCTGGAGGATGAGTCTGCTCAACCTAGAATCCACATATCCAGCTGAGAAAGGCTCATGGAGAGCAGTTTAGAAAGAGCAAAGGCTCTCCTGCCCCCACCTCTCACACCACACAAGCCTTCTGGATAAAAATTTGTTGGATCTAAATCACGGGTTGTGGACCATTTCTGAAGTAGAAGATATTTTCAGAAGCAAGAAAACTCTTTCACAGCATAAAGGCAGAAGCCAAAACAAAAACTGTTGAGAAAATGGAACTGTAATACACATACCCCATCATTTTTCTCACCACCAGCCCTAGGACAAGTGGTCCCGAAAGAATTATTTGCCATCCATTTGATCTTATCACTTTATTTCCTCAAATGCAGATCTCCAGCTTTCAGAAATCTGTGGTGACTGCCTCCCGGCAGAAGTGTGAATGCATAATATCAAAGGAGTCCATCTAAAAACACTGGGAGAGAAATCACTCTTTGCTCCCAAGTGGCCACAATGAGAGAAACACAAACGGTGATGGGCACATATATAATCACATTCACCAGATGAAATATCCCACCCCCATTGTGTGAAATCTTTAGCAGGTTTTCTCCTTCATGTACAATTACAAAATTTCGATAGCCATTTTCCCGATAACCTTTTCTTTCAAATGTGTTAAAATGCCAGGTCCGTCCCACAGTTGTTTTCATTGGTAGAACTTCATTTGGAATGAACAGACAGCTGGTAGCAAGTTCTGATCTCAGACCATTTCCCAAGCCCCTTGAAAGCAGTTCTGTGAGCCAGATATTGATGCAAGTAGATCTTTTTGTTTCTGGCTGTTTCAGGACTGCTTTACCAGTGTGTGGTTCTTGCTTTGGGCCAGTTAATTAAGCAGCTGACTATATGGACTTTTTACGATCCATCTGACCCTAGGCAAGGCTGACAGGCTGCAGCTATTCCAAATTCTGCCTTCAGCTACATACATGACATCTTTTGGTGGGAATGAGGAATTTGGCATTGTTTTCTAATGCCAGGATTTGCTTTTCTAAGAAGCTAGAAAAGCAAAGCAAAGACTGCATGCAAGCAGCTGATACTAGTTTGGTTACAGAACCATAGAAATGTGGTCATAGTGTACTGAAAGCATTAAAACTTTATAAAGGGTTAATAAATCATACAATAGATGTTTTAGTAAATGGTTAATCAACTATTCCAGACTGTTATAATTCTCAGCAGACCAGTAGGTTACTTATAGCCACAGATAATATCTGCTCTGGGTATGCTTGTAACCAACTTAATGCTATACTATAATTCATAAAATGTGCTTATATCATATAATAACTACTTATAAACCCATTTAGGAATAAAACATTCATGTAAAGTATGAGTGAAATACAACTGGACATGCAGAATTCATCAAACCGGCCATTGTAGTGTTGGGGTGGTGTCATTGTCCAGGAATTATGTGAGAGGTATTTTTTATCAGGTCTGATGAAGAATGCCTTGCATTTGACAGTGTGTTTAAGTCTATCCCAACATACAGTTGGTTCAATACAAAATATCCACAAAAATCCTTGCCTGTCACATCAGCCGAGCTATGATTTGCAGAAAATATAGTTTATCATGTCAGCCTTTCAGTTCTTCAATATTTCATTATGAGAAAATGTCACAAAATGTGAGAGATCTGTATTGCCTGGAAAGCACAGGGGTGACTTCTCCCACCCACCTGCTTTGCTGGATTCAATGTTCTGGGAAGTTTCACATCATGTTTGTTTTTGTATCTCACCCAGCTTGTCTTCATTACTCATTGTAGATACCAATAGACTCCAGCCTGGCTACTCTAGTCTGAAATGCTGGAATATGAGTAGGCAGCTATCAGCTTTATTGGGTTCCTTCAATAAAGTCTGGAATACCTAGATCCCTTCCTAAACCCCATTCTAGTCTAGCTACCACCTATTTCACAATTCTTACCTATATAGGCCTCATACAGACATTCATTTTCTCCTGGGAGTCGCTGTTCTCCCAGGAAAAACCACAAGTATACAGATGTTCAGGCTTTTTCTTCCAGAGTAAAAATGCATGATTGAGGAGAAAAATAACCTGGGAACAACTGTTTGTCCTGGGAGACTGAATGTCTGCACATGCCATAGATCTTCTCTCCCAGCACTGATCTGCTACTTGCCCCTTCCTACAATCTCATTAGTGGAAGAGCCTTCTCCTCTGCACTCTCCTTCATCTGGAACAGATCTCTCTGTCTTATCCAGCTTGTAGATCTCATACGGAAAATCTCCCCAACCTATATTCTGCTTAGATCTATTCTTCTCTCTACCTCAGACCAGATAACCTAATATTCACTAGAAGCTGTCTTTACACAGCTATGATTAGTAAATACATACTTCCCACTTTCTCATAAAATGTAGCTATAAAACATTTTATGCTGTGGTTTATACAGAAAGAAACTATTCAAGTACTAATATGGGGTACTGATGTGTGTATACTGATCAATTCCTTCTAGCCCCCCCGCCATTCTTCCAGGGCTTCCTGACTTGCCTAGTCAGCACAAACCATGTGCTATGCCATAAAAGGCAAGTAAGCAACACGCTTTTCACTGAGCTGTATGCCACTAAATATTCTAAGTGTGCAAACAGATGCAAAACATGCCTAACATGTTGGAGAGGTCTCCGCTACTTTTCCCCTCCACACAGCAGCCGGATGGGGAAGAGCTGGAGTCTCCACTTCCTCATCTATTCCTCCTGCCGGTGAATAACTTCTCTGCCTGCATTTGGGCTTACTAAGTAGCAGCAAAGTGAGACAGACTAACTGGTGTTTGGTCAGTTAGCACTGTTGCCCACATGGTTCTGAAAAATACACATGAAAGCAAGCAGAGACTTGTTAATTTTACTGTGTTGCTGCTGTTTTTAGCCGTCTGTGCCCAGATGGGAGGATACATTAATGCTGTGCCAGGTCACATTTGAGACCTTGCTAAAAGAAAAAGAAGCTGTGCAAATATCGCACCCCCAAATTGGTGGTAGGTATTTCCTGTTCACCACCACAGGGTATGTTCAAGGCCCAGAGGTGGGAATCTTAAAAATGTCTAACCTCCAAGGTTAAACTTACAGGAGAGGTATGCTTATAGCAGGAACTTCCTTTTTCCATGGATGGACAATGCATTGCAGTGTTTCTAAGCCATGGTTGCCTGACCCTCTGGTGGGTGGCAAGTGGGTGACTTCCGGGACACAACCCACCCAATGGGGAAGAGAAACTGGCAGATTCATGCAGTCACTAGGACACCACAGGAGCTGGAGGAAGGCAAGAAAGAAATGCCTTGTTCCCCTTCTCACTGCTGTTGCTAATAACTCAAATCCTGCAGCTTGTACAGAAAGGAGAGCTCTTTTTTTCTCGCACGGTGCTCAGTTCTGAGGAGGGGAAGCAGCATTTTGATGGGTTTGAGGTTGACATCACAGCCTGCAAATGCACCATGTGGAAGAGAAGCAACTGCTGCACCCCTATGGAGGCCACCAAGCCAGCACCAGCCCTATGCTCATCCCACAGATCCACTTACCAGAGCAACAGATCCACCAGCACGTCCCACTCAGCACCACAATACTGTCTGCAAGTTTATGGCATAACCCCAATCTCAGGATCTTTTGAACTGTGGGATTCAGGTGGATGCTGGCAGGAAATCACAAATGTTTGGGGGTCTGAGGTGAAAAAGGCTGAAAATCCCGCATGTAAAATAGCCTCCCAAACTTACAGCATTTAGTCTAAGCACAAAATGAAATCATTCAGGATTTTCAGGTTAATCTGTCAATTACTGTATTTGTTATAAGCATTTTAAGTTGTCCTTTTAGGAATTTGAAGTGGCCTCACCTTTTCTTTTTCAATTGTTCTAAAGAAATAATTTCTTGATTTTTTTTTTAAATTTGCAAATGGGTGCACTTCTAGACACTAGGCCTTAACTTTCACTTGTTGGGATGTTTTACATAATATTTTTATATAACATCTATGTATTAACTAGTGTAGATACATGTATGTAATATTTCAGTATGGTTACTTCTAGTAGGTTGCATTGTGTGAATAACTGATTTTTAAAATAAGTAAAAAAAAAATCAAAGAAATTTGCCCACTTTGATGACACGTCAAATTTTGAATGTAATCTTGTATGTGATCATTTTTGCATCCTTATAAGTTGCGGTGTACAGTCTATGGAGATACTGAGATTCTGATTTTAAAATTATTAGCATCATTCAGATATTAAATAACTGTGCATTGGAGAGTACTACTTGAGGCTGTGCACAGTGCAAGCTGATTTTTCAGTTCTTTGAGGAATATGTTGAGATCTCTACTACCTTGGTGTTTGTGATACACTACCAAATGTTACTAGTAAAACTTGCTTTATATTAGCACATCCTTACATGTTATACTGCTCTACTGGAAAGAGGAGGCAGTACTGCGAGATTTTAAAGATGCTCGGTTTGTACAATTATACAAAAATAAAGGGGATAGAAGTGACTATGAGGTATTTCCCAGTTGAATATTGGCAGAAAAGTAGTCACCCACATTATGCTCCCTAGGCTGCAGTCTCTACATGAAAGAATCTATCATGAAAGTTAATGCAATTGTTGCTCAGGATGTTCCACCCTTGATATGATATTTTCAGTCAAGCAACTGGAAGAGAAGTGTAGAGAAAAGCGAATGCCACTGTACATAGCCTTCATTGATCTGACAAAGGTTTTTGATATGGTCAAAAGACACAGCTTTTTTACTGTTCTGAAGAAACTGGATTGTCCCCCCAAATTCTTGAACATCATTCATTCATTACATCAAGGTATGAAGGCAACTGTAGTATATGAAAACAAAGAATCAAATGCCTCTGATATCAACAACAGGATGAAACAAGGTTGTGGCTTAGCCCCCATGCTCTTTAACATCTACTTTTCATTCTTGCTTCTGCATGCACTCAAGGACAGGAATGATGGCTTTTATCTTTGAACCAGACTAGATGGAGGCTTGTTCAGCATTGCATGGTTTAGAGCAAAAACCAAAGTGAAAGAGCTGGTACTGGGAGAATTCCTGTTTGC